CACCCGGGAAGGGCCATTTCAGCGCCGGCCACACCTACTTTCTCAATCTTCACCTGACTGTTTCTGCAAGCCTTGTCGTCTGAATTCCTCAGCTTCACTTGGCTTTTTCCACAGCCGTGCCCGCCTACCTGCAGCCGAGTTTCCGACTGCACCCTTCTCCGGCTGTTCCGTGTCTTGGACCGCTAGACAGCTGACACTGTCATGCCATTCCTCGCAGCAATCACTGCTGTGTTGCGCCAAAACAGCAGTCGTGCTGCGCTGTTGCTGAACTGCTTCGCCAAACAGCAGTCGCGTCTGCGCTGTTGCTGAACTGCTTCGCCAAACAGCAGCCGATGTGATCTGCTTATCCACTGCTGTGTCTGCTGTTTTTGCCTTCGTTGCCGCACCCAAACAGCAGCATCTGCTGCGTCTTTTGTGCCTTCCCGACCAAACAGTAGTTTGCTGTTTTTGCCTTCGCTGCTTCGCCAAAATAGCAGCAACTGCTGCGTCTTCTGTGCCTTCTCAACCAAACAGCAGTCTGCTGTGTTTGCCCTTCATTGCCTCGCCAAAACAGCAGCAACTGCTACGTTCTCTGCGTCTTCTTGACCAAACAGCAGCTGGCTGTGATACACTTCGCTGCTGCGCCACGTAACTCAGTAAACAACAACAACAAGCAACAATTCTGATTTTGGGATTTCTCCTAAATCCTACAAGGTGAGTTCACTCATTCTTTTATAAAACCTTTTAATAGTTGCGATATGGTATTGGTTTGCCGTATACTTTAGCTCCTATAAATTACTCACTTGAATGGAACGGGATCATGGATCAAGAGTGTGGCTACATGAAAACTCCGTTGGCGTTGGTTTGATGAGGAAAAAAAATGGTTATTCACTAATTAGATCGCACACTTCTTGTATTGATGGCCTTGAAACCTTAAAAACCCTCATAATATACGTAGGAGGGGCTCTTTCTTAGAAATAAAGAAATAATGTATGACTATAGAACTCGCGTGTAATATTTATTGTTAAATGAATGAGTTTAAGCATAAGTCGTCACTTTTAGTCATATTACCGGAGTATGATGGAATATGGGTACGAAAATTGATATATTTACCTTGTAAGAAGATTTATCTGATTTGGATTTAGGCATTGTGATCATTATGTAACTTCCAAATCTATCTTCTCACCTCCACTCGGAAATAGGCATTGAGATCATTATGTAATTTCCGAGATAAAGAGCTTAGGATCACGACCGACTTCATGACTGGTTAGGTTGATGTCAATGGTGTATAACCTGTAAGTGATGCTCTGAAACATTGATCTATGACTTACTTTGTGTTCCGTCACAATCAACGGTAAATCGGGTCTCCCCCGTCATCTTCGGATGTTCTGACTCCTCCACGAATTACTTGGACTTACATTCCCTCTTTCACTGTCTAAAGTTGCGTTACCGATATTTTTTTATATATAATTGCATTTTGAATAAAAAAAATGATTTTTTATAGCACTTTTACTCTATTAATTGAACTCACTAGGCGTAAGCCTAACACTCGTTCTTGAATTGACTTGTTTATCAGGTCCTTTTAGCGGAGGGGTATCAAAGGGTTGAGAAGAAGGTAGTTGGTTAAAGTCTTTTTGGAGTAAAAGCACTTGATGCTTCGAGCGTTACTACTTGGTTGATTTCATGTTTTTTTTTGGAGTTGGTAGAAACAACCGTGCTTAATCTAGGCATAGAATTGTTTAGATTTATAGGTTGTTTTTTTT